CTTTCCATACCGCTAGGGAGCAGCAACAGCTAGCCAATTGCCTTGTGTTTCGACTGGAGACAAGCGAATTTGTGACGTATGAATGCAGGACGACGGTGAAACAAATATGCAAGATTATAAAATACTTTTTTTCTTTGTGCTTATTTGATTATAATTCAAGCTTTTATAACGTAATTCTTCGATGTTAAAAACGGTTATAGTAACAATGTAACGCGTTAATTGTTAAAATTAACATTTCAGCTAGTGGTGTGCCGCGAGATTTTTTTCAATGAATGAAGTGTGCCTTGGCTCAAAAAAGTTTGAAAAACACTGATCTAGTGTATCGGGACTATTGCCTCTCATTCAAGTACAGTAGATATGTTGCCAAAACAACCCCAGGATGGTTCGGGTATTTGATTTTAGAGGACTTCTAGGGGACTATTTGAAACCAAGCATTGGTTTGCTTCTCTCATCCGTTTTTTATCACCTCAGGACCGTCTTTTGTGGCGTGTCCTGCAAAAAGTACATCAACGCAAACATGGACGAAAGGTCCGTCACCACAGTCCGATATGCCATGAAGGTGCTCGCCAACGGATCCGAAACCACCATTTTTGTTTTCCTCGGAATCTCGGCCATCGATAAGACGTTATGGGTGTGGAACACGGGCTTTGTACTGATCACACTCGTCTTCATCTTTGTCTATCGCTTCATCGGTGAGTTTTGAGCTGGTAAAATGGAGACTGTGTGATGGCGTTTTTCCACAAGATGCGGTGGGTTTGTGTTTTGCTGTGTACAAAAAGGAGTCTTTTTCCTCACCTGGATCATGAACAAATTCCGGTTGATGCAACTGGAGGTCATCGATCAGATTATCATGAGCTACGGTGGCCTGCGAGGGGCAGTGGCCTACGGCCTGGCAATGATGCTGGATGAAAACAAAATCAAGGAGAAGAATTTAATGGTCTCCACCACTCTGATTGTCGTTTATTTCACTGTCATCCTTCAGGTAGGTTTTGATGTGTTGAGAGGATCCGAGATTATCTGATGTGGCTCAGTATTTTTGATTTACTGGCTGCAGGGACTGGCACTGAAACCTCTTGTCACTTGGCTGAAAGTAAAGAAGGCTTCAGAGACGGAGCACACGCTCATAGAAACAGTGCAGAATAAGGTGATGTTAAAAAAAAAAAAGTTTCGCATTAACAGTGTGTATTACAACAGTGAACCTGAACCATCCTGTCTGTCTTATTTAGGTCTTCGATCACATGCTCGTTGCAATTGAAGATATAGCTGGACAATTTGGTCACAACTACATGATGGACAAGTATGTGAAATTATTTTGTCGTCATCGAAACCAGATGTGTTCGGTTGGAGCCGTAACCTTGACTTGCCCGGCAGGTGGAATCATTTTGAAGAGAAGTGGGTGGCGCCAATTTTGATGAAGCCATCGGCGAGGAAGAATCGCGACTACGTCTTCAAAGTGTTCCACCGGCTCAACCTCAAGGATGCCATCAGCTACGTCACCGAGGTGGGCGCTGCACGACAACACAGACGTTGAGAAATTCACCTATTCGCAGATTTCTGGCATTATTTGCGGGAAACCTTGGCTAGTCGTAGCTTCTAGGTGTGATTTTTTTCGGAGCAAAGTTGTTTTTAGAGTAAGTCATTTTTAAATCATATTTTTGGAAAACAAGAAAAAAAGAAATTCAACTTGCCGTACCTCGATTCAATCTTTGTGGATTACCTGAAAATCTACACTGACATAAAAACAAACAAACAAAATTTTTAGCAAACAGATCTGTAATGTTTTTTTGTGTGATATTTTGACAATAAGTTGAAAATCATTTTTAGGCTATTAGACCAAAGATATATGCAATTATATCATTCAGGGACAGTGGTTACTGCAGTGGCCAGTTTATCATGTTATCAGGTTGCATGAAAGGGTTAAAGTGGCAAAACAACAAAAAAGATTTCCTGATGTTTGAAGTGTTTCCTTACTTTGCTTGCAGGGTGAACGCAACGGCTCTTTGGGACTGATTCGGAATCAGTCGGGAGTTATTGAAATTGAGAAAAGGTTTGCGCAAAAATCTTCTAAGGTGATGCCCGACATCATGGCTGACATGGGAGACGATCGCGGTGCGGTGTCCACGTTGGGGTGAGTCAAACCTTTCGGCCGCATCAATACAATACAACTCTGGAGAAGAAAAAAAATCGATCTAGTCAAAGATAATACAGTTGTGTTTGACACTGTGTTACTTTGACATTAAGTAGAAGAGAAGCTTGGCCTTCGGTGAGCTTGGAAATGCACGAGCAGTCCCTCAAGGGCGCGAAGCAAACAGAAGACATCAGTCACCACCTGCTGCAACAACACTTGTACAAAGGCAGAAAGCAGGTAGGACGGTCTGTCGTTTGCAAAATTGATACACAGAATTTTCATCACGGTCTGATTAATTCTACTCTCCCGTGCGTTTTTCCGTGTCCTAGCACCGGCATAGATATAGCAGGAGCTACATTGACGTCAACAAGGACAAAAAAGAGGCAGAGGAGATCTTCCAGAGGACTATGAGAAATCGTTTGGAGTCTTTCAAGTCGGCAAAGATGGGCATTGCTCCAAAGACAGTCGCAAAGTACCCCAAAAAACTCCATGACCATAAGGTCAAGTTTGACCATTTCCTTTTGCTTTGACACAAAATTCCTTTTCCGAAACAGCTAAAATGATGTTTGTAATCGAATATCGGGAGGGGAAAAATATTTATTTAATAACTGAACTCTTGCTCTTGCAGATGTCAAGTGGGAAACTTTACCGTTACGGTAACGAAGGTAAGAAGATAAGGCAACTCAAGCGATGAATACACTTCATTAGGGACACTCATAACATACAGATTTTCTAGAGCCCGATATCGTAGAGGAGGACAGCACCTCCAGCTTTGAGGCATCAGATGATTCACTCCCCATGAAGGTCCTCCGGAAAGCGGAAGGTGAAATACATCCATCTTATCGGTCGTTTTAAATCACAATTAGTACTACTACTACAATACAGTGCTTTTGCCATCTCCAACCATTTTTTTTTTACATTTAGCTGAAAATGAGAAGCCGGCCTTCATGTTGGAAATGGAGTCTGCAGCATCAACACTAACCCCACCCTGGTTGTCGGCGACGGAGGCCGATGGCAACACAGCGGCCCCGTCGGAACGGGCTCGGGAAAGATTGCCGTGTACACCCGGCAGCGTGCGCCGCCTCTCGCCCTTCACAGACTCGGTCATGCAGGCTGGTGCACCACATGCGGACAACAGTAGCGATGAAGAGCTCTCACCGACATCAATGCCGCCGCCGCCGCCACCAACATCATCACCACCTTCTTGACCGGGATCAGCATGGCTTGACATTAACATATGTTTTCTTCACAACTGTAAATCACTCAATAAGCTGCAGCAATAGAGTTGTTTTCTCCAGAGGACAAAGAATACACCTGTGAGTTTTTTTCTGTCGGCATGCGTTCATGCACAGTTTGTGTTCAAATGTCCGTTGGGGCGTCAATGTCGTTTCTCACGCCGGTGTGTCTTCATAATAAAACAAAACCAATAAAGAGAGAGCGTCACCCCGCGTCCACCCCAGCTTGCCTCACTTCGGTTATTGTAGCTGGCGACCTGACATTAGCCACAGTATTTGGAGTGGTGCAGTGTTGTCGTAAGAGACGTCAACCCGGTTTGGCGCTCCAACTTATGGCCCACGCACGTGGTGGGGTTAGTGCTCTCTGTAAGAACTTCATTGTCTTTGTTAGCTTGACTGGTGCGCCACAATTGCGAGCTAGTTATTACTCAGCCACCGCCCTGTTAGGTCGCAAGCTAGCTGGGAGCTAGCACCTGACAATAGCGTGAAAAGTCCCACTACGACCCAATGGGATGTACACCCATTCAGCAGACACGCCCACCACATTTGAGAGTGGAGACAAAGGCTTTGTTTTTCAAACCTTGGTTACATTTTTCAAATGTGGCGTGGTTTGTAACAACATGTGTCAAAATGTACAAAATGTTTGTTTTGAATTTACAGTGCCTTTGAGGCTGTACTTTTATGACTTTTACGTAAGCCAGGCCAGGAACCCAGGTAAAGATGATTTAAAATCATCTATGACATTCTGATGTTGAAGTTAAATCATGTATTCATAAGCTGAGCCGTTTTCCACATCAGAATCACTGCCATCCAATAGTAACAGCAAAGGGTACATACCATTCATTTTAGACATCGTGGACGCAATAGCCGTAGTGATAAATCGGATAAGCAGAGCTTTGATACACGGAACGCACCAACATCCACACAATGGCAAGATAGCTGAAAAACAAAATTGATCCGGTTCTGCGTGCGGAGGCCTTCAATGGCCCTGGTGAGGGCACCTTCAGGCACAATTGAACAACACTGCTCACCAAACAGCGCGCACGCTCCATTGGCCTCAGCCAAGAGCACATCGACCACTATTCGGTTCTGGAACTCAAGCAGGGGTCCCCAATCGCCGGGCCGCGGACCGGTACCGACAGTCGCAATGAAGAGCTCTCGCCAACATTAACGCCGCCGCCGCCACCAGCATCATCACCGCCTTCTGCTTGACCGAGATCAGTCGGGCTTCACATGAACCTTATTTATTTATTGCTCACCAGTCACTACGGCGAGTGCTTTCCTGGACTTTTTCTAGCCACTCCCCACAATTTTGTTGGATAATGCACAACCAACTCCCGCGTTTTGGTAAGACAAAGCACTTGAGTAGGAATTTAATTTTCCTTTCGAAATGGTTCAGTGATCGGAGTGTGTTGGCAGCTTGAGGCTGATTCCGAGAAGGGATCACAATAAACGCACTTGGGACAAATGTGTGACTTTCTTTCCTTTATTCTCATTTTTTTTTCTCTTCAATATAAGGCAATCTCCGTGCATACGTTGTGTTGATGGTTTTCGAAAAGAGCACAAAAAAAAAAGGCCAAAAAAAAAATAAAGGACCAACAGACAAGTGCACGGAATGTTGGATGAAACGGTAAAAGTACAATTTACAAAGCAGATTTATTATACGCTAAGACAATTAAAGCAGCAAATACGACACTAAGTGGATGTGCTTATTTTGAAACTACAACTTCTGGTGCATTACTCAGCGGCACAAATCACCAAATGCATATAGTTTTTTTGTTCGAGTTATTTTTGTGATCATTGGGCAGGGTGTTCTTTCATGAACAGTTGTATATATATTTAGACAACAGTTGGTGTGTATTACATAGACAGACCAGCGAGACATATTTCTTCACAAGTAGTCCATTCCGGATGTTTCGAGATGTTTTGTCACATAGTCCAATATTATTCTTTCATTTCCGGGATCCTTGAGGTAGAAATGAGACCCATCAAGCATCCTGATGTTGAATTCTCCTGTTGTGATGTCTTTCCATGCTGTAGACACACGATGCAATTCGATGCATTAAATGGGCAACAGCAAATACAGGAAAAAAAAAAGGAAAAAAAGCTTAAGTTCCGAAGACCAGATTTAATGGTAAATTCTGATTGTTTAAATACATGAAAAGTCTATCCAAATTAGCATTTTGAAGCAATATAAGCTTTTTTTTTTTTTTTTTTTTTTAAATAGGTGGTATACAAAAGAATATTCTGAAAACCCACGCAAACCGTTTCAGTCCTCGATTAGATCATCAGAGAACTGACCTTGTAAATCGTGAGGAATATCCTCCTTCCCATCCAAGCATGAAACTGGGCAGGAGAGGAATGGACTTGATGGCTTGTGACACCTGTCTCAAATCAAGTAAAATAGAGTCAGTACAGTATTCTAGTTTTTGATAAGGGCTATTTTTCGGTGAACAAGAGTTATGAGCCCACTTATAGTTTTCGACAACATGGAGGTCAGCCTTCAGCGCAGGAAGGAACAGTTGCAGAACTTCTGGGTTGGCCAGAAGCTCAGGCGGAGTTCCTCCAATCGAAATCAGCCACTTGAGAAAGTCGTCATCTGATAAGTCACTTCTCTTTGGGGCTTGGATGCGAGTCTCAGACTATGAAGATACCACGATACCACAATCCGGAACAATATGACTAAAATAACTACATAATTTCTTTATGAATTTAATCCAATCAATATTTCATTTTGTACGGTGTACTTATTTTAATCCCTCAAGAGGGAACTTAATTTACACTTGACAGTACAAAATATTTGCAGAAGTAGTTCCGAAAAATAAAATAAAAGTATATTATTAAAAAAAATTGATTTGACTGGCTCTTACATAAGGTGCAGATGCACCAGACAGGAAAATGTGAACTGGCTCAATGTTGTGAAGTTTCTTCAGAGCATCTGCAACAGCATAGCTTGTATAAGCACCAAAACTAAGACAAATCAGAAGGGTGAATAACATAAGTAGATATTTTTCTCCAAAATACTGCAAGAAGAAACACTTAAGTTGATTTGTTGTCATACCTGTGACCAAAGAGTGAAAATGGCTTCTCTTTGAACACTGGCAATAACAAATGAAGAACCTCATCCACAATCTGCTGCATGTTCTCAAAGAAAGTCTCTTTGGCCCGACTCTCCCGTCCAGGAAGTTTGACAGCAAAAACTGAAAGTAATGAATGACAAGATTATTTTGGCAGATTTATCAAAAACGAGGGTCATGTGGGTCGCGGGTGTGTTGGAGCCTATCCCAGCTGTCTTTGGGCAGTCAGTGGGGTCCATCCTTCACTGGTTGAATGTACTGCATGACACTTGCAAAATCACACGGGGAATTATAACTTAGAACAATAAAGGCATTATTTAAATAGGAGACTGACAATGTTGATATTATGGGGTTACCTTCTATAGAGCTGTTAAGAACGTTCCCCCAGCGTGCATAATGTATGGACCCTCCACCTGCCCAGGGGAAGCAGATCAACCTGGCAACAGCATCTGGCTTTTTCTTGAAACAATTGATCAACTTTTCCATCCTGGATTTGCAAAAGTATGAAGAGTCACGGGTAATTTGTGCCTGTGTTGCCTCAGCATGCAGGAAAGCGGCTGACACGACGGCCCAAACAAAACAATCAAAACAAGGAATGCAAGAGTACAAGTTGTGCTGCAAAGCTTCAGCTGTTACATTTCCGGGACTTATTCTTCTACGATTGTATTTATTGCTGTCGTTTTGACAGGTAGAGACACCTATGGTGTGGCGTGAGCATGTCAATGCAGATTAGTCTTGTCGTCGTCAAGTTGTTAAAAAGCCAGTACTGAGTGAATCAATGCTCACCGAGGGTGCGAAGAAGGTAGGTATAAAATTAGGGGCGATATAATTCAAAATTGTAAACACAAAAGTTGTGAGGAAGTGACGTTTTTCCTTCAGATCGTATTTCCTGACGAGGTTCCCAAGGCGGCAACGCGAGTCCAATTTGTGTGTCAAGTTAAGCCTACACACGAGATTGAAAAGCCGGAAATAGAGTATTTTATTTTATAATTGAGGCTGAATATCCTCTTTGATAATTTTGAACTCTGATATTAATGTCATATTGAGGAAACAAATCAAACATACAATGTATTTCTTTGCATCCAAAAGTGTTACTCAGGAATGGCATAAAACAGTCAGAGTCTGACAGTATGTTATATTATTTTGAAGGACTATGTTGAAAGTATATTTATCGTTTGCCACTTTTTTTCTAACTTCACCGCAGGGTAGACGGGGGTGCCGCATATACATTTCACACACCGGAGTGACTGACGCTGCTGTCGAGGCAGATTTCGGATTAGGGAAAACCTCGGAATCGTCTAATATATAAAAACGCCTGTCGTGCCAAGTAACAGGAGGGTAGAAAATCGGGTAATTATTAATTTGAGTCTCGTTTGCCGTGTTGTCAGTCCTCTCGTTAATGACGCTGGCTAACGCTAACTAATGTTACCGCAGTTCGCTGAGTGTTAGCAGCTAACACCCCAGTCAGCCATATCGAGCCAACTCCGCTTGTGAACGACGCAAACTTGAGAATAATGTCATTTTTCCCATTTCAGCCTGAGCCGGAAGAAATGCAAAAGAGGTAAGCGGGGGCGGTTTGGATGACTCTGGGCTTACTTTGGGGAAAAGCAGCGGAGAGAACTACCCGCCAAGTGAACCCTCCTCCCCAGCGGCCCGGTTCCACATCAGCTGGGGCAACCGGGAGGCAGCGTTTGGACCTTCCGTGGAAGACGTTCTCTGAGCAGGGAGGGTTGGTGTCTGGGTGCCGGGGTCATCCGGGGAGAGAACTCATGAATGGAAAGCGGAACTACAGGTGGGTTGTCTTACGTAGTCGTCGATCATAACTTTTAGAATTAATTACAGGGGTTTTCCTGCATGTCAAATGTTCTGACGCCCACCTCCAGGTCGAAAAGCACCGACACCATGAAAATTGTTCATATCTGACCAGTGTTGCACTTGTTTTTCAAAATGTTAACTCCATTTACCTCCGCGAGGCTTTAGAAAACAGTTGGATGCCACTCCTAAAACAGTTGATGGATTTCCTTTGCTAATGTGTAAAACATTTGCTTCTTTTGAAACTAAGGATGTCTGATTTCGCAGTGGAAAAAAACCCCGAGCTTTTCAACTTTCTGTTTTTTTTTCTAGTATTGTCTTGTGAAATTAGTGTACTTTTCAGGATAAAGGTGGTGAGAAGTGTCTTAAGCAAAATGAAACGGAAAGTACATGTAAATACACAGGAGAGCTGAATCATTAATCAAATTGGCATTGCAATGTAGATGAAGGCAGCAATAAAAAAACTGCTTATTTTCATTGAGCTGCCGGCTGAGTCTTTTCGTATATATCTATATTTTACATTCTTCACATGCTGTCTAAATAAATTTTTCGCTTAAGAAGTGCAGTGCCCCTGTTTACATATGATGGACTTATCAAAGTGAAAAAGCCACGCACAGTATTTGTTTTGCGTTATTGTTGTAATCTGATTTGTGACTGACTGACTTATGTTTGCGTCACACTTGTTTGGTCGAATTTTGCGAAAAAAGAAAGCAAGTCGACATCTCGAAGTGAATTGGCAAAACTGTCTTTCATATTAATTCTGGTTACATTTACCTTATTTTTAGCTGAAGGTTAACATATAAGAATCAAAACATTTATGTATAGTAAATCTGATATTGTGTATTAAAAATTCATTTGTTACCTATGGTTGTTTTAAAAAAAATACATGAGAAGAAGGGTGTGAAAAAGTAAAAAGAAAAAAAAATCCCAATTAGATTATTTTTCAAAATTGTTCAGACCTAGGGCGGCCCGGTAGTCCAGTGGTTAGCACGTCGACTTCACAGTGCAGAGGTACCGGGTTCAATTCCAGCTCCGGCCTCCCTGTGTGGAGTTTGCATGTTCTCCCCGGGCCTGCGTGGGTTTTCTCCGGGTACTCCGGTTTCCTCCCACTGGTAGGCTGATTGAACACTCTGGATTGTCCCTAGGTGTGAATGTGAGCGTGGATGGTTGTTCGTCTCTGTGTGCCCTGTGATTGGCTGGCAACCGATTCAGGGTGTCTCCCGCCTACTGCCCGAAGACAGCTGGGATGGGCTCCAGCACCCCCGCGACCCTAGTGAGGATCAAGCGGTTCGGAAGATGAATGAATGAATGTTTGTTCCCGAATGCTAATCTAGTTGACATTCCATAGGGCAACACTAGTGACTATTAAGGCCTGAGCAGATTAGATTAACATGGCAACACACAGAGGCAGACATCTGATTGGACCAAAAAAAAAAACAACAAAAAAACCCAAAACGAAAAATCTGATATCCACGTACTTGAAGCAGCACAGCAAAGGCAAATGCTTCAAGAAAAAGGAGGAGGAGAAGGACGACAACAACCCCTCTTGTTGGCTTGAACACTGCCGAAAAAGCCGGAGGCACCTCAGCAGCTTCGGGCCTGAAGCCAGCCTACCATCTGCTTGCTGCTCACATGTCAGCCCGCACCAAAACACAAGCGGACTCATCGACACAACACTACGCGATACAACTCAACGTAACATGGTACACAATATGGTACGACGCAACCCAACAACGATCCGCCAACGCTACACAACACAATGCAAAAGTACACAAAGCAACACAATATAACCGACTTCACAGTGCAGAGGTACCGGGTTCAATTCCAGCTCCGGCCTCCCTGTGTGGAGTTTGCATGTTCTCCCCGGGCCTGCGTGGGTTTTCTCCGGGTACTCCGGTTTCCTCCCACTGGTAGGCTGATTGAACACTCTGGATTGTCCCTAGGTGTGAATGTGAGCGTGGATGGTTGTTCGTCTCTGTGTGCCCTGTGATTGGCTGGCAACCGATTCAGGGTGTCTCCCGCCTACTGCCCGAAGACAGCTGGGATGGGCTCCAGCACCCCCGCGACCCTAGTGAGGATCAAGCGGTTCGGAAGATGAATGAATGAATGTTCAGACCTACTCCACAGAAAAAAAAAATATTGGTTGAGCCAATGGAGATGTGGCATATCGCCTCTGTGTAAAGGCTCTCAATACCTCACTTTGAGCCAGGAAACAAACGTTTCATCATAACAGGTCATATCATCATCCTCTTAAAATAAATGACCTTAGTCATATTTGGATAAAAAAAAACATGTTTGTTTAAAAATGTAATCAGTTTGCACCAGTTACATCCTCACTTAAACAGACCATTCCGTTTATATCCCTGAAATGAAGTTATTGGGATTTTGGTTCAGTTTTCTGAAGAAAAAAAAAGACTTTGGCCATCATTTTAAGAAGTTGACGATATGGATGTTTTAGCTTTGCTACATGCCAAAAAAATGCTTGATACGAAAATAAGACTATGACACAATGACAACGTATGTCATAGCTAAAAAAAAATTCAGACTGCAGACAAGTGCTTTTCATAAATTACAACAGTTGAGCGATGGCTGTTACATCAAAACATATTCGTGAACTACTTACATACTGTTATGATATCACCCTATAGAGATAAATCAAATTTTCTGAATTTGAATATGTGGCTCCTCGGGCCTTTGATTGACAAGCGCTGTTTGGTTCTCTCATGACATCATAGCTGCATCATCATCACTCGTCTGTGCATGAGCTCATCTTTCATTTTGCAGAGCTCAATCATCCATGATTTTGAGCATTCAATTCACGGGGGTTTTATGTCACTTTAAGCCAGCTGAGGTCTGATAAGTGATATTTTCCTCAATAGCTGTGCCAATGCTCGACTCTCAACCTTCACACAACAGTAGCCAGAAAGCTTCAAGCATTTATTTAATCCGTGTGAGTAAATAAGTGAGAGAAAGAGAGAGCCGAAACCAGTTTTTCAACACTGTTTGGCTGCCGAAGGCAGGTTTTGTGAACCCGTCAGGTGGGCCTGAGAGCCTGACTTCACTTTGACAGCTGTGTGTGTGTGTTCCTTTTCAGCGGCTGCCATAGCAACCCAAATTATTGACGAATGGTCAGTTGGCTACTTCCTGCCTTCATTAGACACCGACTGAGCATGTCAGGTCATTAGTCAGTTTAGGTTATTGCCAAGGGGCACCATTTTGTGTATCCAAGCTTTGTGTGTTATTGATGTTCGCAACAGCTCTGGACTGACACTGACCTATATCGGCTTAGCTTCGTTTTTTTTTTTTTTTTTTCCCATCGCACGGGAGATCTAAAGCAATATTAAGTAATACATTGGCAAACGTAAAATATGTGATCGCTAGAGGCGTTTAAAAAAAAAAAAAAAAAAGGTCACTCTTGGCATGGTTGGAAAGTAGCCACATGGAGGGCATCGAGATGCGAGTGTGACCACAAGAATCATTCTTTTCCCCCTACCTCTCCTGTCTGTGTGATTTGCGTTGCAGGAGCCGCTAGCGCCCAAGCCCTTTTTTCATTGCCACAGCGACCCGGCTATGGCACCATTGGGAAGCCCATCAAGCTTCTCGCCAACTGTTTCCAGGTTGATATCCCCAAGATCGATGTCTACCTCTATGAGGTCGATATCAAACCTGACAAATGTCCTCGCCGGGTCAACAGGTAACAGGAGAGCCATTCCCAAGATCAACCTTTTCTCTCGCCAAACGTGAATCGATCCATAATTGTGTTTGCTCTCCACAGGGAGGTGGTGGACTCCATGGTTAAGCATTTCAAGGTGACCATCTTTGGTGACCATCTTCCAGTTTATGATGGGAAGAGAAGCCTCTACACAGCAAACCCACTTCCTGTTGCCGCCGGTGGGGTAAGAGCACTCATTCATAT